TAGAAATTGATAGCATTGGATTTCTGTTAGTACTATAAATGCTAGTTGTAAAATCTATTTGACATTATGTAAATTTGACACAAACTTAAGCGCAGGATATATTTATTATACCTCACTTAATTCAAAACCTGCTAAATTTCAAAATAGCCAAATCAAAATATTAATCATTCTTATGTTTAAGACAAGACAGGACAATATTTATTTTCACTTATTTCTGTGAACACGCTGCCACACATTAAAAAAATGAAATTCTGATGCCCACACTCAGAAGGAAATATACATACCCATACATGCACGTACGTATATATATCACAAACACACACTTACATATCCATATAGATATACAGATATCACAATATTTTTGAATACATAGGAGAAAAAAGAGTCTTGAGAATTAACAAGATTAAAGTTATTACAGAAAAGCTACTATTTTTATTAAGTAGAAACTTATATTAAGATACTTAATATAGCAAACATATTGTCTTCAAATGATTTATTTTAAAGTTCAATTGGACATGTTATCCGCTTAAAATAAATTTAAGATTCATAAGTAACTGCTTTTTGTGCCCATGTATGTTGAGCCAACGGTTTATCTTCTCTTTTTACAATTGTATAAATTATTGCTGTTTGTTTTCTCTAATGAAGCGCTGTTCAAATGCATTATTTCAGAAATATTATTAAAAATAACCTTGTATTTTCAGAAACATGTTTTCTTTTTCAATCCTTAGCTTTTCTTGAAATAGTTTTATTTATTTATATTTCATATTACCTAAACCGGTCATCTTGTTTATTCAAAATTTCCTCTGAAAATAGCATGTTCTCTAGTGCTTTATATATCTACATTTAGATCTAACAATGGATTTTAAATTAAAGTAATTAATCTGATTGAAGAAACTCTTGTGAGACATTTGCTCCGAACTCATCTGTGAGTTCAGATCTACAAAAAGAGGAAGGAAATTTCATCATCCCTAACAAAAGAATACGAGGACAATTATTGACTTTGGCATTGTTACGTTGATACCAACACTTTTACAGGAAAGCAGAATCTTTCTTTCTCATATTCTCTTAGAAACATTTTCCATTTATAAATATCTTCACCACATGAGAAAAAGATTCTACTGTAGAAAAATTATAGATATCGTAATACTACATGCATAGTAATTTTTTCAGCTGTTAGTATTCCACACTGTAATCACTTCCTTTTCCTAAAGTAAACAAAATTTTAAAATACAATTATAAAATCATATAGCAATTTGAATATTGTACCAAAAATCAAGGCAACAAGCTGAAATTAAAAAGGGTAAACCTGGAGGGGGGAAAAGGAACAAATAATACTTTTCCCCTAAAAAGTAATAATAATAAGGGGACCTTCTTAGGAGATCTTCCCTAATATTATTCCCACAATAACAACACTAATATAAATTGGCCTGAGAAAAACTGTTTTTTTAGTGATCATTGTTTAAGACTCACTGGAGAAGAGCCTAATGCTGGGAAAGATTGGGGGCAAAAGAAGAATGGGACGGCAGAGAATGAGGTGGGAGTCACCAAAGCAGTAGCTATGAGTTTAAATGGACTTCAGATGATGGTAGGGGACAGGAAGGCCTGGAGGAATGTTGTCCATGGGGTTGTGATGGGTCGGACACAACTTGCACTTTTTCAGTGCAAATAACCACATGGTTAAGTGGGCAAACTCAACATCGTTACACTCTGTGGTTTTCCCATTTATGCTATTTAAAATACAAGCAAGGAGAAGCAAATAGATATGTCCATTGCTATTCAACACTGTAAGATTTATTAGAAAGCTATACAGAACTTGTTATAACCATTGAAAAATTACCAGTACGTATTTCTTCTCATCAACATGTCTCTAATAGAAATCTATAATCTAGATGTCTACATCAATTGGTCATATCTTTTCTTGAAAATTATGAAAAAATTAAACTATATACATCAACAGAAACTGAAATATACTGGTACATGACTATCTTTAGGAAGTAGGCATTTAAGTTTGAGGTGTCAAAAATGACAGATGTTAGTAGTAACATAAAGGTAGCATTTGGAGAGAAATAGAGGCAAATAATATATTCAGGAACAATGTGCAGCGTTGTCCCCAATATGGAAATTAATAAATCATGTAGCTATATTCAACTGCTATCAACACCACCAAAAAAGGCCAGAAATAATAAAAATGGATCCAAGACTGCATTATAGTAATCCCCAAAAAAAGACAAGATAAGGTATTGGAGATCTATGACCAAATATTTTAAAAATCAATATATTTAAAAGAATGTAATTGACTCTGAATTGAATTGTAATCATAATATGACAGAAAGAAATCTAAATTTTTATGATTAACAAAACCTCAAGGAGGGAAAAAACAAATACAAGTAGTCGACTTATGACCAAAATTGAGTCCCAATTTTTTATTGTTAAGCAAGTCATTTAAGTGAATTTTACCCTATGTTACAACCTTTCTTGCTACAATTGTTAACTGAATAAATGTAGTTGTTAAATTAGTCACATGGTTGTTAAGTGAATCCAGCTTTCCCATTGACTTTGCTTGTCAAAAGGTTGCAAAATGTGATCACATGACCCCAGAACACTGCAGTTCCCAAGCAGCTGATTTTTGATCATGTGACCCTTGGGAAGTTTCGATTTTTCGATTTCGATTTTCGGTTTTTTTAATTTTTTATTGTATTTCTATGCCGCCCTATTCCCAGAGGGACTCAGGGCGGCTCACAAACCAAGTCAGGGGGGGGAAAACAAACAGAAAAAAAAAGAAGAAAGACAACAGACAACACAACACCATAATTTTAAAAACAATCAACAGCTACACCATTCGCAACCCTGTTGCAATGGTTATAAATGTGAAAAACGGTCATAAATCACTTTTTCAGTGCTGCTGTAACTTTGAATGATCACTAAATGAATCATTGTAAGTAGAGAACTACCTGTATATAATAACTGTCTCCTAGATCTCCATACCTAACTGAAGAGTAAGTCCTGAAATACATATGAACTTACATATCACACTATATCTCATTCTAATGAGTATCAATCAAAATTGCATTAGAGATTAGAGGGTTCCACCACAAAACCGCGTTCGACTAAAGGGCGCTCGACGAAATCGCGTAGCTGACGTCATCACAGCGTGACAACAGCGTGGAGAAAAAAGCACGCTGCAAACGCTAAACCTAAAATTAACCCCTAAACCTAAACCTAACCCCCCTAAACCTAACCCTAAACCTAACCCTAAACCTAACCCTAACCCTTAACCTAACCCTAAACCTAACCCTAAACCTAACCCTTACCTTAACTTGAATCGGCTTGCTTTCAAAGCGCTATTTAAAGCGCCCTTCTTTTTCCGCGCTCGCTGTTGTCGCCCTGCTGATGACGTCAGCGACGCAGTTTCATCGGGCGCGCTTTAGTTGAGCGCGGTTTTGTCGTGCCACGAGATTAGAGAGTCTATTTTAGTTCCATAACGAAGTGGAGGCAACAAATAATTCAGTTTCATAATAAATTCAAATTAATTCAATTAAATAACTCATATTAAAGAATGTGATAAGCATCTCACCTTGCTCAATTTCATAAGACTACATAAATTTATATCAATAAAATATTTATTAGGATTATGGTATTTGTATGATTCATATTCAAATTTCTGCATTTGTTCCATTATTTAAGACTATGGAAAAATAATCCCAAATGAGATTAACAATAACAATGAACTTTGCCTTGGTGTCATAAAGGAGTTGAATTTTTAACAGATTTTTGCAAAAGAAATATTCTTAAATCAATACTTTTCAATGCCCCAGTATCTGGATTAGTCTTTACCCTCCATTAATGCCAAATTTCACAATGCTTGTTTAAAATGTACAAAATCACATCAAACATTGGTCTATAGAACTTCTATTAAAACGTTTAGCTTGCCCATACTAATGTCAGAGATATAATCTACCATAAAGAAATAAATGACCATTCCAAAGAATAGCTGAAGCACAGAATGAAGACCTGGATGTTATGTAGAACACATTCCAATAAGTACTGCGCTGGTTGGGTGTGGCTCACATCTCTGTTCAAATTTGTTTCCAATAAACATTTCCTTTGGACTTCCTTTAGTACATGTACTCATGAATTCTACACACAACATTGAGAATCTTTTGAGAATCTTTTTCTGACACAATCTTCATATTTATTTTTTCACAGAAAACATTTATAGTTTGATCCAGTAGGCATCTGATCTGTCATTTTTATATTACTAAGGAATTCAGCTAGGTCTAACACTAACTATTTATTGTTACAAATATTGACTTGCAGCTATGATGTTCCAAGTGTCTGACCAACAACTGAAGAATTACATTTGGTTATCAGAATGACTCTCCTGATAGTAAGATCCACCTTATAACTACTGGTATCAGGTCAGAAATTATTGAGACATAATACTTTCCTCTTTTCCATATTTCAACAACTAACCCAAAATTTACCAAATTGTCAAGATTCACATACTATAGAAATTGCCTTTCGACCTCTTAACCACATAAAGCAAAACATTTTCATTGCTCCGTCTGAATATATATTCTATAGCTTGTTTTTCATTGCAGAAATGTATTTAATCAAAGTCTAAAATTTTGAAATTGTGCGCCTTAATTTACAAGATAAAAATATAACAACTTGTTCATTTCAAATATTAAATATAAGCATTGAAAGTTGAACTGGGCACAGCAGAACATCAGTTTCATAATATTTACACTGGTAAGCTAGGAAGACTTTCTGGTTTAAATGTATTAAAGTTCAACCAATACTGACAGTCTACTTAGAAAAGTGCTTTTCTAAAATATAAAAGAGCAAACTATATATACATTCATCAGAAATAACACAGCAGGACACTGAAAGAGGGCATTAGAAGGTAGAACCATTCAATCTTCAATGCTATAATCTCCCCCCCCCCCTCTTCCCTCCAAAAAAACAAAGACAACAGCAAAAGAAAGAAAATACCTTACCAAAACCTGTACTGGAGTGCTCATGTCTGTTTCGGAGGCTGCTGCATCCAAACATTTTTTAGGAAAATCTGTAAGTTCCTTTTTAATATTTTTACTATTTGTTCTTGCCAGCATTCTTATCCAGAATATTTCACAGAAACGTAAATCTCAGCAATTTTATCTTCTAACAGAAGCATGCCAATGATAGAGCAACAAGTAAAGCTTCTGCCACCCTTAAAACTGCAAAGAGAGTAGTTGTGAGAGTACTCTGCTGAAGACTCAGTCAAGTTATAGTGGGAATGCATGACAGATAAAGGCCAGCCCTTCAGAAGGGGGAGGAAAGAGAGTGTGGGAGAAAAGGAGGTGGATCCATTTCAACATAAAACTCACCAAACAGTTCTTCCCAGTTCTCATAAAATGAAGCTAATAGTCATATATTTTAAAATATTCTAAATCGGTAGTTTTTAAACAAACAACAATAAATTGTATTATGTCTGTAGGGCTCTTTCAGTCAGAGTACTTTTAAAATGAAATAGTGTTTTTTTCTCATGGGAATAAAAAGAGATAAGAGAGATCCTATGACCACAGAATATGTGGGTTCTGCTAGCTTAAGTATTAAATGTTAGTAACTTTGAAATGCAATACAAAATTATTACTTTATGGATTCTGATATGGAAAGGTGACATAACCAATTTATCCAGCTGATGTTGCTGGTCTGACTAGGTAACTCTATAAGTACCAATAATTTGGATTATATCAAGAATCCGTGTTGTGTTGTGAGTTGGATCTGGATAGTTAGTGAGTTGGATCTGAACAGAGGACACCTAGATCAAGTTATCACTTTTTCTATAACTTCACTGGGTAACTTTGGACAAATAGCTTTCTTCTCCCAGGCAGGCACTTCTCTTGGACTGATATGTACAGGTAGTCCTTGACTTATGACCACAACTGAGCCCAAAATCTTTGTTGTTAACTGAACAACACCCAATTTTACAACCTTTTGTGCCACAGTTGTTAAGTGAATCACTGCAGTTGTTAAATTAGTAACACAATTAAATGAATCTTGCTTCCTCATTGACTTTGCATGTTAGCATGTCATAAAAGGTGATCACATGAACCCATGACACTGCAATCGTCATAAATATGAGTCAGTTTGTCAAGCATCTGAATTTTCCTGAATAATAATTGCTACCTAACTGTAGAGATAAATGGAAAAAGAACAGTTGAATTAACTCTCCGTTCATTTTCTCAACACATGCATATTTCTTATATTCGTATAAAAATTTCATCAATTTTACCATAAAAGCAAAGATTACAAAATAATAAATAATCTCTATAGTCAGAGTTTTGCATGAAATGTGATTTTTTTTTCATGGTTCAACTGTTCCAGTGGAACACAACTTTGGGACATTGAGAAATATGTAGCTGGGCTGGTAGTCCAAACAAGAGGGTATGGAGGAGGTGGGGTGGAGGGATCACAATGTTTTTTCAATCTGTCTGATGCCTATATGCTCTGCAAAAATGTTACTGCTGTGGCTTTTTTTAACGGGACTATTGTGCCTGTTTTATTAATTCTATCAGATTAGAATTGATTAATGGCTTCCCAAATCAGAGGAGGTCTATCTTTTGCTTTCCTTTTGTTAAGTCTACATTCAAGCCAAACACTGACCCCTTTCTCAACATATCTTTCTCCTCCTATTTTCCCCTCAACAACCCTGTGAAGTGAGTTGGGCTGAGGAAAAGTGACTGGCTAAAGTCTTCCAGCTGGCTTTCATGGCTAAGGCAGGACTTGAACTCACAGTCTCTCGCTTTCTAGCCTGGTGCCTTAACTACTAGACTAAACTCCACTGTTATAGTAACTACAATGGCCTTCCATACATTTTGACAGAAATTTAAGTTGCAGATTATCCCTAACCCTATGACTTGGGAACTGCCTTTTCCAAATACCGTATTTTTCGGACTATAAGACACGCCCGAGTATAAGACGCGCCATGATTTTGAAGAGGTAAATTTTAAAAATTATTTTGCGCTCTGCAGGCTTCCCAAACCCTCTGCACACCTTGTTTTTTGCAAAAAAAAGGGAGGTGCAGAGTGCTCCTAGGGGCTGGGGGGACAAAACAGCCCGTTTTTGCCCTCCCCAGCCATTAGGAGCACTTTACAAGCCTCCCAAACCTTCTGCATGTCCATTTTGCAAAGGGTTTCAGTAGGCCAAAATGCTGTATTCAGTGTATAAGACGCAACCAGATTTTCACCGACTTTTTTGAGGGAAAAAGGTGCATCTTATACTCAAAAAATACGGTAGATTATATTAACCAAGTGTTTATAGTTTGCTACTGCCTACTTCCAGGATGTGTTTTTTACTTCTGTTTATCCTGATATTCCCTGGAATTCTCCCATGCAAGTACCAAGAGGTGCAGTGGTTAGAATGCAGTATTGCAGGCGCACAGCCTGCAATTTGATCCTCACAAGACGTGAGGTTGACTCAGTTTTCCATAATTCCGAGGTTGATAAAATGTGGAGCCAGATTGTTGGAGGCAATATGCTGACATTGTAAACTACTCAGAGAGTGCTGTAAAACTCCATGGAGTAGTATATAAGTCTTAGTGCTATTGCTCATTCCTTCAGTATTTACTAGTAATGCAAAATGCAAAAGACAATTTAGAAGTATCTAATTCAACCCTACAAAGGTGGGAAGAAAAAAGAAAAGGAGGAGGAGGACCAAGCAGCAAGGTCGATAGACTTAATTACAATGGTGATGAGTCAAGCATTTGAAGACCTGAAAGACTGGGTTAGGAATAAACAGTCGTGATGAAAATCTATCCATGTATCTTGCGTGTTATGTAGAGACCAAGCAGGAGGCACTGAAGAAGATAACAAGCCTCAAGTACAAGACTGTGCCTCTTTGCACTTCCAGGCAATCAGTATTTAAGGTAGGCTACCTATGATTCAAGTGATGGTGAACAGCCATCAACACGAGGTTACTAAAAACCTGATTTTCTATGAGCCTATCCCTTTAAAAACATCTCTTTTCAACTACATTTTTAGGCTGGGGTCTTAAAGAGTTGGGGGTTTTGGGGGGGGGGTGTCTTTGAAACATTCTTGCCTTGCCTCTCTTCTTGCCTTACTCTGTGGCAAGGCAGTCATATTTTCTAGGCAACTTTTAAAAAATGGCTTGTCAGTACCTTCTTCCTAGAGCTGAGAGGGAGTGACTGACCCAAGGTCACTCAGCGTGTGGGTCAAGATATGGTACCACCCATTCAGAGCTGATGTTCAATTTGAGGATCATCCTAGGCTCATGACTCCTGCTTGATGAGTAGGTCGGAGTTGTGCTAGAAACCTTTACACCATTCATTTTGTATGCTAATTGTGCCTTCTCCTTAACCAGAAGATCTTGCTCGTGGACATACCTTGGTTATTTCCCATTTAAATTTACTGCACTGTATTATATATGGGGCTGCCCTTGATGACCACCTAGAAGCTACAACTGGTCCAAAATGCGGTGGAGGCTACAATGTTGGATACCCATCTAACACCCCTGTTCTGTGAACTGCACTGGCTCCCAGTCTTCTTCAAGGTGCAATGAGCCGAGGTGGCGCAGTGGTTAGGGTGCAGTACTGCAGGCCACTTTAGCTGACTGTGATCTGCAGTTCAGCGGTTCAAATCTCACCGGCTCAAGGTTGACTCAGCCTTCCACCCTTCCGAGGTGGGTGAAATGAGGACCCGGACTGTGGGGGCAAGTTGCTGACTCAATTTGCTAAAAAATTTGTAAACCGCTTAGAGAGGGCTGAAAGCCCTATGAAGCGGTATATAAGTCTAATAAATAAATAAAAATAAATAAATAAATAAAAATAAAAAATTCAAGGTATTGGTTATACACCTTTAAATTCCTACATAGCAGGGGACCAGGTTAATTGCGGGACTTTTCTCCTTGAATGTTTCTACACAAAGGGTGGACACATTTCTTTCCTTAAACATTGTGATCTTGCGAGTCCTCAGAAGCATGTCTTCTGCACTGCAGCCCCTACCCTACCCTTCCCCCTTGTGATCCAACAAGCCTCCATCTTTTTAATCTTCAAGTGAACACTTAACATCTGGATTTCCCCCCAAGCACTGAAATTGGGTGACATATACAATATAATCACATATATTATTTAAATCTGGGGTTGTAAGCTGTCCATAGCTTATCTTAAAATAGGTGGCTGTATCAATGTGTTAAATAAATAAAACTAGAAGTAGCGTCTTAAATTACCACAGGTGCTCTGGAAATTAGTAAATAGAGAATGAAGGCATAGGCTGGCAGCTAAGATGGACCTAGAGGGCTCTGGCTTTTAAAGTAAATTGGGCAGTATTTAAATTGTTAGTTGGATGATGATCTGAAATTCACAAAGAGAAAGACGGCAAGCCCAGGAGGGCCATTAAACCATAAAAGAAGGAAGTGCAAGTGGAATTTGGCTCCTCAACATAGATGATCCCTCAGGGATTGAAGATGACAGATGATCAAAGGTTTTACCAATCAGAGAACAGCCAGCAGCCAGCCTAATTCACAAAGGGGAAATTGCTACCAGTACCTATATGCTCTTCCTTAATTTGAAATTAGTTAGTAGGAAATAAAGCAGATGGGGATAAAGTCTGCAGTTTAGTATCTCAAGTCATTGTGCCTTACTTGGAAATGGGAAGGAGGAGGCAAAAGAACTAAATCTTGGAGTCTCTAGCCATAAATAAACCTTGTTTGCTTTTCTAAGGAATGTAGCTTGGAAACTGAAAGTAAATGATTAGCAAATATTTGGGTTTAGTCTGATGGTTTGAATAAAAGAAATAACATTTCTAAAATGATGCTTTGTACTGAGCTTCTAATAAAATTATAAAACCCACTGAAAGCTTTTGTGCCTTTGGACGATAGTCTTAAAGCAGGACATTATTCAACTTGACTGCCATTACCACAACTGGTAATAGCCATTTGCACAATTTAGCTATGTACTATGGAAAAGCCATAAACCCCCAGAATGTAATTTCAGCAGATGATCTAATTGTGAGAGTGGGGGGAAAAAATCTCACTTTACATATAACCTATGTCA